TTGAAACGTCACAAACATTACGGTTTTTCAATATTGACTTCTCACTTTACCGAATGAGCTATGCTATCTTACTGGTGTTTCACCTAACTTAAAGATGAGGATACTGTGCTTAGTAAAAAAATTGCACCATACACAAGACAGACTGATAAAGTTAAATTAATGCAATGATTACTTACTGCAAGTTGGATTGTCAAAAGTCGATGTCGTGGCATGGGCTGAACTTGGTGCAGAGAGTGACGCCCTGGAGACACAGATGGCGGCCTCTCTCGAAGTCGCAGTAGGGGACGAATGTTGTGAGAGGGGAGGATATTCTTCACCTCGATGGATCAAGACAACAAACGGTTACTAAACTCTCCAAAGCTCTCAAACTACAAATTGAAGCCTTTGTCTGCTTTAGTTCCAGGGCTGGAGCTGCATCCAGAACAGTCAGTCATCACAAAGACGTGAAGGAGAGGGTGAATCGACGAGGGAAATAAATGATTTCAGGTTGCAAAAGATGTCCAAATGAAGCCGAAACTTTGTTGCCATAGCTACCACTGTTGTAATAGTAAAAGTAGTAACAGGTGGCTATGACCTACTGCGAGGAAGTGCAGACTACGAGATTTCCTTTGAACGGCAAGCCAAAACTACCAAACGCGTGGCATACAGGTCCTAAGCAGTGACGGTGGGGCTCAGACACAGTAGGCCAGTCAAATGGTGCGAGCTGTTAATTACTGATTCACTTGTGCTAGCAGTAAGCAATTCTGTGAAAAGCCAGTGGATGAAGTTTCGGAATGCTTGACAAACGGTGCAAAACGCTACAGGAAATAGCATACATGAACACCGCTATTAAAAAGTGTACATGATCGCAAGAAAGGGGAATACGTTGGCTGCTGACGGCATTCTCCGGGATGGTTAGACTGGTGGGGATTCCCCAGCCACAGAGACTTCTGCATGCATTTCCCGTGCACTACTCCTGGCATAATTTAAAGTTCGTTTTGATCCGAGTAATCCTCCAATAACTAGACTGAGAAGGTCAATTCGGTCTCCTGCAGGTCGGCCCACGAAATGGTGAAATGGAGTGCTGCCTATGCCTTCCATTCTACTTGTTGCCTCAAACAATGGCGTGATTCATTGTATTACCATGGGTGACCACCATTTAAAAATGGCTATAGAGTAATTCACGTGGAAAAACGATACTGAGAGGAGGTCAGGAACAAAGTCCGGTTTTAAAGGAATATGGAGCTGAACTTACAGGGAACACGTCGACTTTTGGCCCAAGTGCGAGCGAGAGACTACAAAAGAAAAATCTTTTTTGGATCTGCTAAATATTCGCAATTCCAGGAGAATGGAAAGCGGTGTTAGTTAGCTACGAATGAAAAGATTACAATGCGTAAATAGTGTAATTCCTGAGGTCGTAAGGTAAGAAAGAAACCCATACAGAAAACAGAACAGTTTCAAAATGGCAAAAAATTTGAAAGCGATGGAATCCCCATAATTGAGCAGCTACCAAATGCCCTCAGCTGTAGTTATGAAGTTTAAAGCAGAAGTGGAAGAGCCAAGAAATGCGTGCCACAGTGAGACCATACGGCGATCCGACGCTAGCATATCCCGTGAAACAGATAAACACGCTACAATGGGTGGGAACCCTTTGTCCAAACGAGGTTTGTTTGCAAACCTCCCTCAGTATTAGCATTTGAAACAGATTTGTTAGAATTAGGGTTAAGAACTGGACGCAGAAACCTACAGATGTGACACAATATGGAACCAATTGGTGGAAACGGAAGAAACCGATGGCAACGCAATTAGGGAAAATTGAGACCAGCAGTCATGATAAACGCTCCGAAACCAAATGCGCTCTTTCAAATTAAAAGTGGTCCGCCACAAGGCGGTCAAATGGTTTACCTTAACAATTGACAATACACAGACTTATCGACCAAGACGACAGCAAAAGATAGAATAACATGAAGGGAGGACTAGCCGATTTAGCTCAGGGACATGAAGTCACTCATGATCAATGATCATAATGCTCTTACCTCAAGTGGCCAACGGAGGACATGAAATACTTAATGGGGCATCAAAACTACAACCAAGTCCAATAAGACTCCATAATGAGTCAGTGTCTTTAGCCAATTTCCAAACTGAAAGATTCAAGCAATCGGCAAACGAAACAGCTACAACGCACACCAGTAGCCTATCTGATACAACTCACACGACGTGCAGTAAGCCTGGGTCGTTTTGGAGGTGACTGAAAAGCTGATGGAGTGGTGTTGGAAGATGGAGATGCGGACGTAGTCCTTGTTAGCGTTTTTACAGCGGTAGTAGTGGAGAATGAAACCTTGGCGGCAGGAGAGCAATAAGTTATCGCTTGCCGAAGGGACAGAGCGAACAATAACATTGTGGAGAGCGAAAAGAACAGATAAGTGAAGTGTAACTCACTTCATCAGGTGGGGAATCAAAGGATGGGTTGGAGGTGGGCTTGACAGGAACCCTTCCCCGCGGAATGACTGAAAGAGCAAATATTCAATTCCACGAACTTGGCGATTCAGACCTTACTTAGAAACGAATAAGTTACATGAAGGTTTCACAATGGAACCTTGAATAAACCACCGCAAGGATCTTGACATGCGTAAAAAGTAAATCATAATTATTTTACCCAGAAAACCTTTTGTCACTCAAAGTTTCATAAAGAAAAAGCAGCAAATGATTCAGCACTTTGCTGAACAACTATCACAAGACACAAACGTGAACTGTGTAATAAAATACCTTCAGGATGGCCACACACAATATAGAGTGCACAATGCTAGTACCAAAAAGAAAAGAGATTACGAGATGACAGCCTATGACTCCGATTGAGAACTGTAGAAAAACTAAGCACTCACCTCCTGCAGTTATGTCAGTCCTCCCAGGCGGGACTACAGAGGTTACAACAGAGGAGGATGGGGATGACGACGGGGTCGCAACCGCAACAGCGTTGGCACCAGTTTTCATAGGTGACTTTGCCCCTAAGCTATCGACGTCGTCCATTAGTCGGCTGATGATGTCTTGCATGTCCTGCTCCAAGAGACCCTGAAAATAAGTTCGGTGATGACCTCACGACTGGTCAGTTTTAGGTCATCGACGCAAAGATCAAAAAAGGTTGCAGTTTAATGAAGCACATCAGTAAGTGTAAGGCATGAAATGCCTGATTCAGTGTAGGAAGGCCTTCTACTTTGAAGAGCTGCGGTCTTTTCACACTAGACCCTATTACTTAACTCTAAGTTATCGTTTAAAACTGGCTAAATGAACTTTACCGTAGAACAAACAGAACTGATGTTTCCGAGATTTGGAAGCAGAATCCCACCCTGACTTCGAATTAAACAGGATATGTGAAAATGTACTCTGTAGGCCCTTAACGAATATGCGAACAATTCTGCTCAGAGGAACCTTGGCATGGGAGATAAATACATGTTTAACTAATTAATGTCCTGATTTATCATTAAATAAGAAAAAAGTTAGTGAATCAATGACAGAAGGCAGATAGATAACATCTTCATGATATTATGTGACCAAAAATTGCCGGGAAGTCAAAAAATAAATTAGGACCCACATATAAGGTGGTCTTCTAACACCATGCCTCCGAAACGAAAGAACTTGGGAAATTATATACACAAGGAAATATTGGGTACCCAAACTCAGGGTAAAAAGTAGTTGGTTTAATTTATGTATTCAAAACCTCACCGACGAGCTTTGTTCAATATCCGCAGGGATGGGGAAGTCCAAGTGAGAAAGTGAGGACTCGCAGGTCGCCCCACTGCTCAAATCGGAGTTTATTCTGTCGGCCACCGTCTTTGCATTCTCCGCAAGGTTGCAGAAAACGCGCTGGGAATAAAAGATCAAATTTGTTTTTACTGAAATTGAAAGACCTGCTATCATTGATTGAATGGCTTTCATTATGAAGGGAAGGCAATGATTTTAACAAGATGAGGAACGATTCAAATTCATGTAATTCATCAATTTCGCATCAATTATGCAGATGAATGGACAAGAACCGGGCAACCTAAGGAATAATCAACTCATCGTTGGTCTGGATTGTTAAGGTAGGAACACAAAGTTCCAGCATACTTTTTCGTGCCTTATATTCTTGCGAGTGACAAATTCGCTGAGCTCAAAGGGGAGCATAAGGGTAAAGGGAGACAAAGGCACATGAAATTAGGCTAGATCCAAGAATAACTTAACGGTTTAATTTGTATTATACTTGCTCATGACAAGCATTTTACACGGCCTTACAATCAAGTTCACAAGACTGAAGTTAACTTACCTGAATATTTAGAGGAGAACGTGACGAAGCTGTAGGAGTTGACTCAATCTCAGTGACATGTGCTGGTCTAAAAAAGAGCGCCGATCGCCAATCCAGATTGTGTAGCAATTAAGAATGAATGAATGAATGAAACCACTGATCACTCACTTGCTATGAATTTTCCGACGTGACGATGAAGAAGTCGAAGAAGACTGGACAGATGCTGCAATTGGTTGAGTTCGAACAACTTTTAATATCACCTTCGGGGTAGAAGGCAACGCCTTGGCAGAGGGAATTATCTTCACTCGATTTTGAGTAGGAGCTACAGAGGCTCCCGGATTTATAATGGTAATACGTTGATTAGAGCCTGCCGAGGGAACAGAGACGACTGGTGTCAAAGTCGATTTCTTGGCGGGCGCTGTGATGCAACTGCGATCTTGAGAGGATGAAGGCGAGGTTCTGACCTCGAGGGTATCAGAAAGCAGGCAGACCAAAAGTGGTGCCATCTCACCAGGATGACAGGCGGGAAGAGAGGCGCTATTCCACTTTTTAATAATGGAATCTCGTTTTTCATTTGCTTGACACAATTAAAAAATACATTGATAAACACAGATCATTAACAAAAGGTAAAAATTTTAAGAACCTACCAATGTTGGCAATAGTGAAGTAGTCTTTCAAGATCTCGGCCAACGTAAAGCCACCAACACGATAGGTCATTTTATTTCCCGTTTGGGATTCATTACGCAACTCCGCCAGGTACGAACATTCTTGGAAAAATGTATTAAAGGTTTGAACGCATCCGAGATCACTGAGATAGCCTAAAATCAAGCACGATTGAGTCCAATGACAAGAGACAAAACAGAACAATACAGCAACTTAAAGGATGCATAACTGAGGATGCACAAGTGTGCTCGAACGTGATTCAAACCATGAGTTAAGCCAATCAGACGTACCCAGAATCAGGCGACAAACTTCAGAAGGAAGGAGAGAGAAATACACGTTATTAACCATACGTACGTAGAATAAATGCAAAACACAATGATCAGAAACGAATCGTAGCTATTTCTTCATTTGAATAGCTGGACTAAAAATTTGCGAAATAAAACAATTCAGTCTATTAAACTTAATTAGACTTAATTTGCTACCACTCACTTGACTTGACTCGGTTATATTTAAAATTTACAGGTTAAATTCCTCGCATTTTTATCGCCTAAAAAGGGTAATTAGAAGAATATAAATTGAAAGTGATCTAGTAAATTACCAGCTGTTAGGTTTAGTACAATGGACTTGCATAAGTGACGGAATTCGAGTGACTTTAGCAACTGTTTTGAAGTCACGAGGCAACCTTTTAATGCTTTGTTCATGTGACTACCTGGCATTCGGTGGTCACTTTAGGATTTGTTCAGCTCTTGTACCCATGGGCTGGCCCTCGGGTCATGCTCAGGTCCATTCGAAATATATCTGTTCAGCCTCTTTCACTGTCTGTGGGAAGTCTCGGAACACTACAAACCCATCCAGTAGAAGAAGGTATTAAGTGGAACTGAATTCAGGGGTCAGACGAATCTTATATTGACTGCCAGATATCATATGATCGCTGAATAAGTATGGCACTACTCCTCTTCCCACACTATCCATCACAACATATTCGGAACTGCAATAAAGCACCCACGAGCTAGCCACGACAGCCAACAGCTGCCATAAGACTGAGGAAAGGTACTTAGTCTCCTCGGCGACTTCAGCCGCACCTGACTTCGGGTCGCATACATCTGTTGACCATCAATTGCTTGCTAGTCTGAAACATATTTGTTACAGGAGAAACGCGATCAGACGCAGTCCCGTGCATAAGAAGATCCGTGGTGTCATTTTCGACATCTACACACGGATGTGGTGAGGAGAATAGTGGCACAAAATATTTCACATAGTTCGTGTCGGTGTCGTTGTGTTGTAAATGGCTTGTCTGTGGAGCACGGGGACAAGGTGAAGCCGAATGCCCCTGATGTAAATGTCTTCGCGGCACCCTAGGTACATACAACAAGTGGTATACACTGGGACAGAAGGCGTTAAAAAGTGGCGGTTTCTCTTTCCGCCGTCACCAGTTCAGTGCCCTCACACTGTGCCCACATGGAAGGAGGCATCGCATTATACAGAATACACTTTTTTTAGAAAAAAAATGTGGATTTATGACACTGCTTTACCAATGTAGGCATTATCCGATCACTTCAAGTCACACCACCACGCCACATCCCTCCCTCCCTTCTTCTTGTTAAACCTCTCTTCAATTCTTGTCCACTTTCGTTAGTTGTCTTGCTTTTCAGCCACCTTTTTCACTTCTTTCTCCATTCTCCATGTTGTCATTTGAGCATTCGTCGATTTTAACTCCAAACTTTCTCCAACTTATTGTCATCCCTTTCAATAAGCGCATTCTCTTTTCTATTTTCTCTTCCAACTACGGGCTTCCATGCTGGTCCACCCTGGCTGCTGCTGCTTCTGCTCACCCCCTCCCCACGGGGCCAAGACCTAACCCTCACCTTCATTCCATTTGGACTATGTCTGAGTCAAGGCAACAAGATGCTTCATCTTGCGCCTAGTCATTGCTACGATGCATGTTCCTTTGTGCCATTATACAACTTTCCATTTCAAACATTTGGGAACACATAGCGGTTCACTTACTGATCCAGGAGCCGAACAATAAACTCATCCTGACCATTATCACTAATTACATGAACTTTATTTTCTTGGAATGGCTATTTTACCACAATCCTCCATGTCAGCACCTAATGTGGCAAAGCAGTAACCCTTAGCCCCAATTCCTTGCTTCGATTACGATCGTTTTTATTTTGTATATTTATTTCGTAGCTTAGCTGGTTGTCGTTCAGCCTGTGAAATGAATGACATAGGAATCTACATGGACTATCAAAATCCCAGTAACCGATTTTGCAATGTATGTCCATCGAATTCTGTGCCTTACTCACCCAGAAATGTGAGCGAGTGGACATAGGCTGTCTCACGGATTTTCACTGAAAACGTACTCATGTACACAAAATTAGACACCTGTAGTCTCCCTCTATGCCACATTTCTCTTCCTCAAGTTTCGTATAAGATAGGAAGAGACATCATGCAGATGCAGCAGTTGTACGCCAGATCGTGGGAATTGGGGAGAAGAAAAAGGATAAAATACTTTGGAAGTAAGCAAGGAGTTTGAGTGGAGGTTGGGAGAGAAAAAAATGGTAAAAAATTGGTGGAGATAGGCAAGGTAGAGTTGCTGACTGCTGCAGAGGGAGTGAAGTAAATAGGAGTGAATGGTGGAATAGAAGAATACAGAGTAAGGGAGAGTGCGAAAACATATGAAGTGTGAGATCGTAAATGGGAATAAATTGCATCAAGTTGGAGATTAGTGAGCGCAATTTTGATGCTGATGCTGCAAAATCGGAATCAGAAGCAACCAGAGGAAGAGATGAAGGAGACAAGGACGATAGTAATTAAGGTGATGGAAAGGAGAAACGTGTGATTGGCACGGAAATAGCAGAAGGACGTTGACTTGCTTTATAGATACACAAATAGGCAAAGACAAAAAAATAGAATGTGGGTGGGGGGGGGGAAGTGAGGAGGAGAAATGAGGCACAAATAGTGGTGAAGGCCAACGCACGGGCTGTGGAGCAGTGAATTAAAAATTCAGGCAGTAGGAAACAGAAGGCTAGAATTAAGGAAAACGGACTTGGATAAAGGGGAAAATAGGAATAGTAAATTAGTTTTGTGGAAGAGTTCCATCCTATCTACGGAATTCATTAAAGCATTGCAACAAACAGTGGAGAGCGCAAGGAATCTAACAAACAACAGCAATTTGCAGTGCTCAATATAGTACAATGTATTACTATCGTACTCACCACCATCTCATACAATAAAATTGCTTTTTTCTATTCCCCTTCATCTATCCACTTGCCCTGCCTCGGCCATTGTGGGGGTCTGCATCTACCATTGCATTTAATTTTTTGCACCTCTGTCGGCATAACAACTGCTATACATGTCACCCATTACCGCACCTAACTGTCCAATGCACTCCTCTCCTCTGAACTCTCAGTATCTAATTGTAAAAGTCATTTCTTATTATCTACCACATAGCTTATACCACGCTGCGCAATCCCTATGCCCAACGGGTGAACTTAAGAGGTGTGTCAAACCTGCCTCGTTCGAGGGGCACGCTTCTAATTTCTATTGGTTAATTCATGTTGCAGTCTAACCAATCAGCGCGTTCCGCCTCCGTTAGCCCTGCACTATTCAATACTACATATGTCATTCTTTGAACAATTGTTTGAGTGCACTTAATTAGCAGCTTATAGCAACAATGCCTATCTGTCTCCTGTGTTCACATCGTAACAGAGTAAAGGCAAGGTTGAAAAAGAATTCCAAGGTTTATTTACATATCTTACAATTAGCACCATCTTCTCTGTGCTTAAAACAGATTGCACGAGAAGCGCAAAATTGTCACACAACACCTGATTCGGGGTAAGCAAGTTCTATGACCACCTTCATGCACTTATTGCAGTACTAAATTGACGACTCTGCTTCACCTATTCTGCAATCGTCATATGCTTACCTGCTTCAGAGTTCATGTATGAAATGTGAAGAAAGGAGAAAATAAAACAATCGTGGCAAATGGGTTGAGAAAAGACGCATTTCTGTGTTGATTGTGGCTTCGGTAATTGTACATTTCTCAAAATTTGCGTCTGCATTACAGCATTTAGAAGGCCATCTATACTTTTCCCATAGATTCGTCAAATCTTCTCTTTGCCTCATAGAACAAAAGAAACTGTGCTTGTCGGTGAGGAGCTCCACTACACTAGTGATGGCAATGAAAGTGATATGAAGGAATATGGGCATTTCAAATGATCCACCGCCTTTAGCCTCATTTAAGATGTAAAGTAGACCCGTAATTAAGGCGACTCTCGTAGGAGGAAAGGCATTCAAAAGGTGCTTGCTTCTTAGGTGGCTACACCGTTGGCAGTATTTGGGAGAGCTGTAGTTTGGGAAAAAATTACCAGGTGAGCACCGATGGAAGATGAAGTGAGTAATTGGCTCTAAGCAGATCGAAACCCTAAGTAAACCCTGCTTTAAGATCCACCGGAATAGCAGCCACATCACTCTTTCCCCCTCCACACTCACTTACCTTCTTATGTACCATTTTCTCTCTTCGCCACATTTTACACAGGATCCGTGGAACAGGTAAGCGTATGGCGATGGAGATGAGGCAAAATGGGCGTCATCAAGCCAAGCCCACACAACTTGGTTACCACCGGGCGGATGATGCAGCTCTCAAATTGTCCTTTCCTCCTTCCCTATGATGTTCTTCCCAATTCATGTACGATGCCGTTTAGGATTTGAGAAGATTTTGTTGGCGAAGAGAATTGCACAGGCTCATCCTTCGTTATTTTGGTTGATTGTCTCCTGTTTGTCATTTTGCGATCAAGTGTAAACGAATGATTAGGCATGCTAAAGGAAGGGTGTTTAAAAGGCTCTCTCATTGAATGATCAGAAGTATTCATGCTGCTGGTGAAGGTCATTAAATGATTGAGTGTCTAAAATTTGCATTGTCTTGCTTTTGATTGCCGAGCAATGGACCGAATGCTGCATGCCAACATCGTCCTTGGGGGAAATTGGGGGAAATGGCGACTTCCCCAAGGGGCACATCTCCTTGTTGATTTCGCGATTGTTCTTTGGCTCCGTCCCTCACCCCGACAAGTGATTACGCGTAGACAGGACGCAGTTAGACTTGTGGTGTGGGTCATAAATTAGGCGCCAAGAGGTGGTAAAAGTGCTCTTCTCCAGAGCCATGAGCTATTTCGAGTAAACACCATCCAAACCCCAAATAAACTAGTTGTTTCATCTTCTTCGAGGTCCTCAAATGCACGCAATAACGGCAAGAAAGGATGGAGAAGTGATGCAACCCTACGGGTTACCCTGCGACTATTGCCCACTGGTGACTCATCGGTAGCTTCTAGCTTTCATTCATTAAC